GTTCTTGAGCAGAATGTGTGCACACTGCAAGGGCCAAAATTTCCTACACTGTGGCCACCATCTCGATCCTGGTATGAACATATGTGAAGAAGTTCACCTAGTTCCAATGTATGCGGGTGAAAACCAAGCAGTGCTTAGTTGCTGAACTGGTTTTTTGTTGACCTAACCTAAACCCTGTACAGATTTGGTCTTCCTAATTTTTGGTAGGATTTGTAGCAAAAAAATTTTTCCCCCCTACTCCATTGGGCACAAAAACCACTACTGACTTTAGAAGTCACTTTTTTTTCCTTTGGAACATTCCTGTAAAGATTATTTTGCCTGTAAATGACAGAAAAATCAGCCCAGCCTGGTTCTGGAAAATAGGAAGATTTTTGGCTCACTTAACCTAATAGGCCTGTATGACACCAGTGGGAGCTGGATTCACTCCTTTTTTTTTGGCTCACTTATGGTTCATGCTGGTTCCACTCTCAGACAATTCCCTCATAAAAACATGTCTGTGGGGTCATCTATTCCTAGTGAATAATAACATTTCAGAACTCTTCTGGGCCCAATACATTTCTGAAGATTCGTTAATGGATTTTTTATATAGCAGTGATAAGGCAGATTTTCAAATGTCCCCATAAATACTTTTTGACTCCCATAATTTTTGTATTACATGTTACATGCCCAATAAAAATACTAGTTGACTGAAAAAGGAACAAATGGATATTTAAATCCCAGTATTAATTGCCTGGAAGATAATTTCTATTGTAAAAAAAAAAAAGGAAAAGGAAAAATGCATTTAAAAAAATCCAAATCTGGGCCAGGCACAGTGGCTCATGCCTATAATCCCAGCACATTGGAAGGCTGAGGTGAAAGGATTATTTAAGCCAGGAGTTTGAGACCAGCCTGGGCAACATGGCGAGACCCTGTTTCTACATTTTTTTGAAAAAATTATCTGGGCATGGTGGTGCGTGCCTGTAGTCCTAGCTACCTGGGAGACTGAGGTGGCAGGATCACTTGCGCTTGGGAGGTCAAGGCTTCAGTGAGCTCTGTTCATGCCACTATACGCCAGCCTGGGTGACAGAGCAAAATCCTGTCTCAAAGAAAAAAATTGAAACCTGCATTCAGATTTTATCTTCATTAATTAATAGGTGCATGACTTGAGCAAAATATTTTATGTTTTCAGCTCGTTTCTTTACAGCACAAAGTTAATACTTATAGTGCTTCTTTCCTAGTATCGTATTGATTAAATGCAATGATACAGTAAGTTAAGCTCTTTAGATGCTTAAGAAAGCTCTTAAGTATCAGCTGTTACTATTAGCACCGAATCTGAAACGTAATAGACTCTCAGAAATGTTGGTTCCCTCCACTTTATCTGTTTATTCATTCTTTTTGCCGTCATTGTTAGTTTTATTCTACTAGTTTATTCAAGGACTGATCCAGATTTCGCGGGGCCTAAAGCTCATATAATTTTGAAGGTTTTATATTTTTTTTAAGAGAAACCATACAATGCTATGAAAATTAGATGTAAAAGTTCATTTTTAAGTATTAAAATTTACAATAAATGACAAATATATAGTAAATATTGCAAATAGTGCAAATCAGGAAATCTTTTAATTCTCATTATTTGCTGACATGCCTCTAAATTACCTTTTTTGGGCTGCATTTTCTTTGGTTGCTTCTTTCTGTCACAAGTCTTATATTTTCAATAAAGAGAACAGAAAAATAATCAAGTATTTCCTCCAGAATGATAGAGAAAATTTGTTTTTGAAAGCGATGGTTTTGCCATTTCTTTCAGCTTCACAGCTCACTATTTGTGATCCTGTATATGGAGCCACAGCTGCAGCTTCTTGCTGAGATGGCGCTACTTTCAGGGACAGACTTTCAAATGTTTGCAGCCCCTTGATCTCAGTCTTCATGTTCCTTGGTAGCTGCAATTTCTAGGTTAGCTGGGTCCTAGCTGCCCCTGTGTCCTGTCCCACCCTGGCCACTAGTCCTGGGGGGATAGAGGGGATGGGAGGTGGTGGTGAAATGACATGCAGTGTAGCATTGACTTCTGAGCAGGAAGCAGGAAAGAATCTCATCTGTGCCTTTCTTTTTGGAGTCAAAGTCTGGATACTCAATGAGGTTCCCTGGGACAAGGTTGCTACTTGATCTGGGTAGATGTGAAGGTAGAACTGGCAGCCTCTGAACCCAACCTATGGACCTAAGACTACCACGAGGGCAGAGAGGGTGACCTCCAGTTTGAGCTTGATGATTATTTCCCATGTAGAGTTTATTTAGCAAATAAAAATGTAGGATGTATTTGATATTTGGAACCTACTTAAGTGAAAGTTATTCATTGTTTATCTAAAATTCAAAAGTAATTGAGGATCCTGTATTTTATTTGGCAGCCTTATCACTGTGGCCCTACATGACAGCTTTGAAAAGGGTCCATGCAAGTAAGGGGTCCTGAAGCTTAAGTTTCATTAGCTTGTCAATCTGTCCTGATTCTAATGTAAAGCTTAACCTTGGTTACTGTTAACCAACATTAACAATCAAATGTTCACCAAAAAAAAACAAAACAAAACAAAACAAAACAAAAAAACAGCTAAATCTAAAATACCTGATTTGACTAGAGGCTAAAAAGCCTTTCTCTTTACTTTCCCCCCTTAAAGCTCATTTTGTTAAAAATAACACATTAAATCAATGGGCCAAATATAAATCTTAATTCAGTAATCCATCACATTAAGTATGTGAACTACTTCCAGATTCATATAATTCTTAAATTTGATATGTAGGTGATAAGCCAGTCCCTTTAATATCAGAAAGACACAGCAAATTACCTTGGCTAATGGGTATAGAAAGAACTATTATTCTAGATCTTGTTGCTTTTAAAACAGCTGGCCCAGTAAGAATGAGATCTCCAAACTACAGAATTTGTTTGTTCTTTATTCTAGCATTTACTCTTTCCAATAACAATATTTGCTTGGGATGATATGCAAGGATTTAATATGGGGGGACCATGGGGGAATAATTTTTGGGTAAGCCATCTCAGTTTTTCTGTCTTTCTAAAGTTGAGTTCATTAGTATTTGCTTTGGTCATGCATTTTTACTTTGGCCAGTCAGCTGTAGCTAGAACAGGAGTGCAGGATTCACTCAATATGTATAGCACTGAGTCATAGCAGCATAGGTAGTAAAGAATCAGCATGGGTTACTATCTCTCAAAGGTAGACAGATGCTTGAGGATTTGTGACTTTCCCCTGAAGTCTGAAGAGAATAGAAAGTTATTGATTTTTGTCAAAATTATAGAAAAATATTGATGAGGATGAGGCCTAGAAGAGAATTATAGCCTGTCACTAGGTAAGTCTGTACCCTTTAAATGGAGACACCATCATTCATTCATTCACAACTAATTGTTCTATTACCTAGTTCATTTTTACCCAACATGTACATGATGCTATGATCAAACATTTGACTAATAATTAGCTGAAATATGGTTTATACTATGCCTTATTCATACACCAGTTTAGCCACACTGTCAAAAAACCAAGCGGTGAAGTTAGTCTGTAATCTGGTTTTGACAAAGCCACTCTAACTTTAGTTATCACTGTTTCCTCTTCTAAGTGTTCATGGACTCTTAAAATATAATCTCTTCTAGGATTTTTGTCAAGCTCTCTGATCTGTAATTCAATAAATCTACCTTCTTTCCCTTCTAAAAATTGGAGCAACATTTTTCCATCCTTCAGTCTCCTGGAACCTCTCCTGTTTTCCATGGTTTCCCAATAATTACCCACAGTGGTTCAGTAATTATAGACATACGTTCTTTCTGTTCTCCAATATGTAGTTTAGCTAGGCCAAAAAAATCTGAAATAATCAGAGTAGCTAGAATCCCTCACACGAGCCCTCCTGCTTCCTCAGTTTCAGATTCCTCTATTACTCCTCACTTTTCCTGGGTCCCCGGTTTGGCAGAGATTGAAATTGTGGGATTCTTAACAGTTGCCAAACTTCATAACTAGCTCTGGGTCTTCAGAAGGACCTACTAATTGTCAGATGCAGAGTCAAAGTCTCATTCCGAGACTAGGCTGATTAAACATATTTTATATTCTTAGAGGTTTCTTAAAATTGTGACAGGTCACTTCTGGGACCACCAGAAACACAAAGACCACAGAAGTTCATTATTGCCTCTTTAATATATTTATTTAATTATTAACTAAAAGCTTAAAAACGCTGGTTCCCTTTTTATAACAAGAAGGGCCTGGATTACTTGTGGGTCTGTGCTTGTTTCATTTGGTTTTTCTCACTTAAATAAGAACATTATAATGATTTAAATGGTTAAATATCTTTCTTCACAGCCAAGTAATAGCACAAGAAACATAAGACCACAGACGAAGTAGAATGAGAAATGTAAGTCTTTGGATTATTCATTGGAATATAAAAGTGAGAAAAGAGTATCTAATTCCAATATTTAAACAAACACAATCACCAAGGCTTTGATGCTATTTCTCCACTAACATTGCTGACATCAGACCCTGAACAGAGTTTCCGTAAAGAAATTTAATTTAAAATGTCCAGGACACAATACTGCTTTAAGAAAACCACTCTTTCAACCCCTAAGTCTAGCACAGTGTCTAGCATGTAGTAGTCACGGAACAATGTTTGTTGAGTTGAATTTACAAGCCACATAAAGAATGTGAGTTAAATCTTAGACCCTAATGCCATTATAATTGTTTCACAGGCAGCAAGAGCTCAGGGAAAAAGAAAAGGTTGTAGAACAAAACATATATTGTGAGAACTGTTACTCTAGCAAACAAAAATACATCCCAATAACAACAATATTTTAGCTTCTGTGGGCATTTGAAGAGGCACAATAAAAAGCCAGCTTTTTTTCTTGCCTGTGTTCTTAAAAACACTGGAAGAGGGAAAAAAAAATTTTGGCAGTTGGAGATCAAAATATCAGCTTCATTGCTGTTGGAGAGGGGCTTAGTAGATGGTAAGGCTAGACTTGTAAATACAGATCCTTAGAATGAGGGACTTACTTTAATCCTTGCTTTTTTCCAGCGTAGTTCATGTTACACGTGACTACAAAAATCTTAAGTCCCAGCAGTCCAGACAGACGCTTGGCTTCCCATATGGAAGCTTACTCCTGTAACCCGCGAGAGAGACCAGACGCGAACTTTCTCTCAGCCGCTCTTAAAGGGAAGAGGAAGAGAGGAGCTAGCTATGCCTGCCCTCTTCCTTGTTTCAAACTTATCAAATAGATGAATTCACTCCACCTGAGTGTTTGTGTGTTAAGGGCAGAATAAGAAACTGGTGCTTAGAAAAACCAGTAATGAGGAGCATTGTTTCTACTTAAGGGTCTTTTAACATCTTGGCTTAAAATATGTTTATATACTCAACTCCTTCCCAAACTCAGGATGGTAAGCAGGGTACATATTTTCCCTATTTTTATAGTTATGAAATTGAGATGCAGAAAAAACGTGTCACTGTCACTTGAAACTCATTGTGTCAATATGAATCTGCAATCTGACCACCCCCACCTCCAACACCCAGCTCATTGTTCTCTCAGTAGTCAGATAATGAAGATCAGTTGTCAGATAATGAAGAGTGATCCTTGATGATTATTCTTAGTCTGTATCCCTTGCACCCAGCATTATTTCAACAATATCAATCTATCTATCTATCTATCATTCGTCTGTTCATCCATCCATTCATCTAAGAAAGAAGGGGTCAGGGAGGGTATTTATAGTGAGAGGCTTCCAACAAAACTGACCTTAGTCCCAGGCTAACTAACCTAAATAAGTTTAATATTCCGTTAGCTGGATGTCAGTGGTGTTATTTTGTGGGGGGGGAAGAGAAAGACTTTCTAAATCTATGAACAAATCAGAAGCCTATCCCTGAATTGTCATAAAGAAATCCCACCCATCACAACCAAATAGCATAACTTAAAATTTTTAATAGAAGTATGAACTAAACACAGAAAAGTATATATAAATATACAGCTCAGTTAATTTTCAAAAATTGAACATGTGTAGCCAACATTAGATGGAAAAACAGAACATTACCAATTCTTCTGATCTATATTATTCTCTTCTGGTCACCCTTACCCAAGGGTAAGTTTATCTGAATTTTTAATACATTAATTTTGCCTGTATTGTACTTTTTATGAAGGGAATAATACAGTATGAACTCAAGGGTCCAGCTTCTTTTGCTTAACATTATTTTTTGAGCTTTATCCATATTATTGTGCATATCTTCAGATCATTTATTCTCATTTGTGTATTGTACTGCATTGTGTAACTAAACCACAGTGTAATTATCCATTTTACTTTTGATAGCATGTGAGAAGTTAACAATTTAGAGCTATTTTAAATAGTAGTGATGTGAATGTGCTTGCTCATATCTCTGGTGCACATATATCTATGTACTTCTGTTGGGTCTATGTCTACAGCAGTATTTCTGGGTCAGAGGGACTTACTTTTGTGCATGCTAGCAATTTTCCAGTGTTTACTAGTTTATATGCCACCAGCAGTGTACAAGAATTCCAGTTGCTTTACATCCTTACAAGCATAGTCCTCTGCAAATATGCACATGACCTAATCCCTACAATCTGTGAATATGACACCCTGCATAGGAAAAGGAACTTTGCAGAACCACACTGCAGATCCACTAGTAATTCTGTTGCTCTCTGAGGATCTCCTCAGGTTTTCACTGTTGAACCCTGAACGACCATCCACATTTTAAGTGTGAAGACTACAGAAGAAATTATTTGAACTGCAGAGGGGAGACATCAGAGGGAGTTCAGTTCCAGATAGTGGAAATCATGCTGAAGTTTATATAGTGTGTATGGACCAAATGATTCCATTTAAGGTTAAAAAAACAAATCTTAAGATGCCCTCAAAATACCAGTAGTTTAATTAAGTTCATTACGTCTGACATGATTATCAGTAAGATTCATAAACTATGAGGTTCTCCTACATCAGTTATGGTTTTGACTGTCCACAATTATCTAAAACATATTTTACAAACCTCATGCCAGAGTCAGATGTGCCTATTAAAGTAGAATGACTTTAAGACAGTATATGCTTACATTATATGGGAGGCTAACAAGAGAGTAAAATCTGTTATGAAAGAGCTGAGTCATGTCAAAAAAAATCATATTTTAAAATTTGATGTCAGCAAGATTAGCTAGCACATTAAAGTTCTTTGTTTAATTTGCTAGGTTGTAAATTCAGTTTTCTTATAGTAATATAGAAGAGATTTAAACACATTACTGAGTAAACAAAGTACTTTTAGAGATTTGCCCATAGTTGTAGTTTAATTAAAGTTGACGCTATTCTTTTGGGAGGCTGATATTTCTAATTTTATATTGTCCTTTTTGATAAATGGGCTTTTCTCTCTCTGCATATGTTCTAGTGTTTTCTTTGTAGTATCTTTATTTTGTATTACTTCATCTTGCTAATACCTCCTCATATCTTCTGAAATTCCTCAGTTTCCCCCTTCTCTCAAGGACACATAGAAAGTACAAGACATAAATACATATACATATATACGTTCAGATGAGTGGATAGACAGCTGTATGTCTGCAACCCATGCTGGACCAATCAGCTGTGGAGGAATGGGGGGCCAAAGCAAGCTAAGCATGGCCACTTGTGACTGTCCCTTAAGCAAAGCAGCTTTCCTTAGAAAGCATTGTGTATGTGGCAGGTAGCATTACCAACGTTAACACATTCTTTGACTTCATTTTAATCTCTTTTCCTGAGCTGTTCATTAAATTACTGTTGCTGCCGGGCGCAGTGGCTCACGCCTATAATCCCAGCACTTTGGGAGGCCGAGGCGGGTGGATCACGAGGTCAAGAGATCGAGACCATCCTGGTCAACATGGTGAAACCCCATCTCTACTAAAAATACAAAAAATTAGCTGGGCATGGTGGTGTGTGCCTGTAATCCCAGCTACTCAGGAGGCTGAGGCAGGAGAATTGCCTGAACCCAGGAGGCGGAAGTTGCGGTGAGCCGAGATCGCGCCATTGCACTCCAGCCTGGGTAACAAGAGCGAAACTCTGTCTCAAAAAAAAAAAAAAAAAAAAAATTACTATTGCTTTCACAGCTGACTCCCTTCTCCTCTCATGCAGGCTTTAAAACTTTACCAGGTGATCTTACTTATTCAGTGGCTTTTACAGCACTTGCTGTAGCTCCAGCCTTAATGACTTACAGGTACTCCAGGTTCTGGATATCACACAGGCACTAAACTCAAAGCATTTCAAAATAAATTCATTATTTTATATACCCAGGCTGCAAATGCTTTCCTTCCTGTATATCTTACGTCAGAACCATAAAATGCATATAAATACTCATTTTCTTTATATACAATATTGGACATAATATAAGATATAGTAATTTTTCTTGTATTTTCTCACTATAATGAAAATCTCCCTTACTTTAACATAAATAGCATTCATAAGGATATTTTAAAGTAAGACAATACAGAAGTATATAGGGAGACTGCTTATCTTAAAGTAAGTCTTCCTCTCACTTCTGACCTCCATATTCCAGTCCTCTTCCTCGAAGGCAATAACTCTTCTCAATATCAGCTGCATCCTTGCAGATACCCTTTGTATAAATACATATGCATATGTATTTTTCTTAAAATTTATATTCTGCTGTGCATACGATTCTTTCCTTGCTTTTTCACTAACAATTTAACTTGAATACTTACTATAAAAATAAAATAAACTCAGAAAGGTTTATAGTTACAATTTACATAAAGAAAACTTGTAGTTTCTGATTTGGGTTCTTAAAAGCGTACTGTAATCCTGTTAGATTACATCCGTTCAAGGAGGAAATGCTTACAGCTATTGTTGGTGATTTGTAATTTGTTTCATATACGTTTGTCTTGTTAAAATAATATGTTTTTATTAAAAGTATTTTGGTACTTTCCTCACCTGCTATTTAGAGGTCACACATTTTTAGCTCTTTTTCTGACATTGCCACTGTATTTCAAAATAATGTGCTAGTCTTTAAAAATGTGATTTATCTTCACCAATTCTATATATCATCTATTGATATTTTTTGTTCAAAAAATGAGTCAACTTTTTACAAAATCTCTCCTAGTAATTCCCCTAGTCTATTTTTCAAAATATAATCATATCAGAATTTTGGTTTAATGAAGACTAAATTTTACATTATGAATATTTGTAAGAATTCTTTCCTTAGTCAAGTGATGGTCCGTGATTATTATTTGGGTTTTCCTGCAGTAAATAAGTGTTAGGTTCAGGGGTGTGGGTCCAGCCCATGCTGTGGTCTGAGGGGAGGTGTGAATCATAGGCAGGTGAAATGTAGTTTTATTCAGCAGCTTTTTCACCAGCAGCTTACGGACATTAGCTCTCTTACACTGTCCACCTTTATCTTGGCTGTCTGCTCTGGCTCTGTGGCTTCTACCGCCTCCATGCCTGCAGCTGCACAGCCAGCTCTCCCTAACCTTCAGAGTCAGCAGCTTAACTCTTTCTCTCTCTGGGCATGAGCACAAGCTGTGTTGTGCCATGCCGTGCCATGCCAAGCTGTGTCCTGGCTCCCCTCTGTTCACCTGCAAGATGAACAGCTTTGGTTTCACTCCCTCTTTCTCTGGGTGCCAGCACCTTCACAAAAGCCATGTCCAGTCTAGCTGAGACAAGCCCCCATGCACAGCATCAGCAGGGCAAGTATACCTTTTAGAGACAATAGTGACTCAGATCTAAGTGTGAACTTACACACACAGGTTATATAACAAGTGGAGGGGTGCACCTGTGTGGCAAACTCACAGAGTCATGGAGGCCTAGATATCTGCCTTGGCCTACTTCTTGACCAAAGCACATTCATGTACCTTACAATAAGTATCTGTTTCCTCATTTGCTTAGTTTTCTATGTACCTATTGATATTTCCCCACCTCTATTCCCTCACCCCTAAGTGCTCAATCAGATCTGTCAAATGGCTTTTTTCTTTTTTTTTTTTTTTTTTTGAGACAGAGACTCACTCTGTCACCCAGACTGAAGTGCGGTGCCACAATCTTGGCTCACTGCCACCTCTGTCCCCCAGATTGAAGCAATTCTTCTGCCTCAGCCTCCCAAGTAGCTGGGACTATAGGCATGTGCCACCATGCCTGGCTAATTTTTATATTTTTAATAGAGAAGTTTCCCCATGTTGGCCAGGCTGGTCTCGAACTCCTGACCTCAAGTGATCCACCGACCTTGGCCCCGCAAAGTGCTGGGATTACAGGCATGAGCCACGGCACCTGTCCTGTCAGATGTCTTCTAGTATTTCCTGTGTACTCAAACACATCAGGACTGGGTTTTCCTTGGAGAACATTGTGCAGGGGCCCTCCGACTGGCTCTGATTGCTCTTGGTGACTCTCCAGGCTGCTGCAGCACAGCAGTCTTTCTGAGGTTTTCTCTAACCTCCATAGGATATCCTGTTTTCTA